ATGAGGAGGGATGGGCTAATATCTACCTGGGCAAAGAGCACTAGGAAATAGGATGGGGTGGGGTGGTGTGGAGCAGAGGAGGAGAGTGGGGAGCATTCTCAGAGCCAGAATCAAGGTCAGGGCCATCACCTCCTCCCAGCAGGTGGGAGAGGAAAAAAATGACCCTAAGCACATTTTTGCCTTGCATTCCATGGCCCAGATGAGTTCTTAAATTGTCCAGAAAGCTTGACAGGAAACAGAAATTAAACACAGAAAAGGGGGCAGTGGGAAAGAGATCAGGATGGGGCAGAAAGGATGAACCCAGACTGCCGGCTTGCTCTGCATTTGTAGGCTGCTGGTACTGCCACCCCAGCACATGTATATACCACAGAGATTTGCTTTGTATGCTCTCTCAAGCAGACCGGGAGCCACTACCTTCTGGGATCCTTTCTTCTAATGCTTTTTATTTATTCCCACTGACCTCTACATGCCTCAGATTCAGGGACACAGTGACTCCCTCAGTCACTTGACCATTGATGACTCGTGGCATTAGTAAGAGCCTAGTAAATTCAGCGAATGAAATTCTTTTTATTACTTTTTAAAAAGTTTATATGGATGGGCAGTGGTGGTGCACGCCTTTAATCGCAGCACTCAGAAGGCAGAGACAGACAGAGACAGTTCAAGACCAGCCTGGTCTGCAGAGCTAGTTCCAGGATAGCCAGGATTGTTAAACAGAGAAACCCTGTCTTGAAAAACAAAACAAAGTGAAGCAAAAAAACAAACAAACAAAGGATAAAGAACCTAGAAAACTGATGAGGAAAGCAGGCCAGTGAGCAGTGAAGAATGCCAGAGTGGAGGGAACACCAGAGAAGGAAATGAAAGAGTTGGTGTATGGCTTCAAGAAGTATACCCATAGCAAAACAACTTGCACAACTCAAATATGCATGGTTTATGGCATGTCAGTTTGAGCTCAGTTAGAGTTGTAAAATAAAAAGTACCATAGTCAACCTCAGAAAACAAGATGAAAATATTGAGGGACAGGCTGAGTTTTCCTCATATCAATAGTATGGTGGGAGGCACCTGCCGATGAGGATCTCCTGCAGCATCAGGGAGCTCAGATCAGCTCCAGCTGGATATATATATATCCTAATTGGTATTGTTATTTTATATTATATATTATATAAATAAAGCATTGCATTATGGGTATTTTGCTTATATATGTGTCTGTGCACTAACTGAATGCTTAGTGCTCTTGGAGGCCAGAAGAAGGAGTTGGATCCTCTGGAACTGGAGTTACACATGGTTATCAGCTGTCATGTGGGTTCTGGGAATTGAACTCTGGTCATTTGGAAGACCAGACAGTGTTCTTAATTTCTGAGCCATCTTTCCAGACCTCCCCTCTAGGAGGTGTTACCCTTACCCCTCTTTTTAATTTTTTAAAAATTGTGTTTAGATGTATTATTTATTTTGCTTCATGTGTGTGAATGTTTTGCTTGCATGGTTTAGATGTATTATATATTTTGCTTCATGTGTGTGAATGTTTTGCTTGCATGCATGTAGCTATCTCACATACATGCCTGTTGGATCCCCCGGTGACTCATGGTTGTGAGTCACCATGTGGGTGCGGGGAGTGGAACCTGGCTTTTCTTCAAGAACAAGTGCTCCTAATCACTAAGCCGGCTCTCCTGACTCATTCTCACCTCTTTTAGAGGTGGGGCCTCAGCTTTTGAGACAGGGTCTCAAGTAACCCAGGCTAGCCTCGAACGTAGAGCAGAGGATAAACTGGAATTCTTGGTCCTTTGCCTCTGCCTCCTCAGTACTGGGATTGCAGGTGTATATCACCACACCTAACCTGGTTTTGGTGTGTGTGTGTGTGTGTGTGTGTGTGTGTGTGTGTGTGTGTGTGTGTAGACTTAGTCTCTCATAGCTGAGAATTTCTGATCCTCTGCCTCCATCTCTGGAGTGTTGGAATTAGAGGCATGCACACCACACCCGGCTTTATCTTCCCTTCTTTGACAGATTCAAAAAGGACCCAGGTTCAGAGGTATTAAGAGATTTGCCAGTGTGCAGCAGTCCTAATCAGGGGCTGCCTGAATCTAGAGCCTGGGCTTTTCTTAGGTAGAACCATCTTCCTTTCAGGAAGGCGCTTCTAAAAAAAAAACAAAAACAAAACACTCCAGCCTGCTTTGGAAACGTCTGTGCAGAGGACTTTGGTTTATAAGTAGGCGGGGAGCTTTGTGTACATTCCTTGCCATTCTGAGGAGAGTGAGCCAGGGCAGAGGCAGCAGACAGGCAGAGCCCCAGAAGAGGTTTGCAAAGGTGTGGTGTCTGTCTGTGAGGCTCCCACGTTACAGTCCACGGGGAACAGATGGTATTCCTATGCCCACCACCCCCTGTGTTATCACCCCTCCTCTTCCCGGAGTCCTATTCTCTCTAAGGGACACTGATACTACATCTACTTCCCTGCCAGCCTTGGGCAGGAGGCTGAAAAAAAAGTCTTGTGTCCTTGTAGACCTCCCCAGGAAGGAGGTGACAGCAGTGCTCTGGGCTCCAGCTTTGGGGCCTCAGTGCCTGCTTTCTCTGGAGTCAAGCTCTGAGTCACTAGCCTGGGATAGGGCAGGCCAAAGTGGAGGTGCTGAGGGCTTTCAAAGAGGAGCTAGACTTTGTCTTGATGGGATAGATGGAGAAGGTAAGGCCGGAGACCTTGAGGCAACAAGGAGGCTGCCAGAGCCGTGATGGGCACATTGGAGAATCCACAGCAGAGTGTCTGTTGCTTCTTACCCTCCACAATCCTGAGAGCCCCGGTCACACGTGTATCCCCTCCACCCTTCAGCGCTGTGCCTTACAGAGTAAATGTTCTCATGATACTCTGTTTAAGGCTTGGTTGACAGAGGACAACTTCCTGCCAGAAATCCCCGGAGAGGTAACCTGGTGGAAGGTGGAAGGCATGTCTGTGGTGAGAAGCTGGAAAGAGGAACAGGATCAGGAAAAAGAAGACGTGTTGGGGAGTCTCCTGGGGCGTTGGGGGAGGGGAACAGCACATGGGGTCTCTGGGCTGACTGGGGACATATAATAGTCTCCCCAAAGCAGAACACTGACCTTCTCTGTGACCTTCCAATATTTGCTAAGAGAGCTAGCCAAGTCACTCTGCTCCCTGGCCTGCTCAGCAGCCGGTTACATGTGTATCCTGGCGCCTTGGTTTGGTGGCTGTGCTGATAAAGGTGGCCCACCCAGGATAAAGTGCTGGGCTGGAGAAAGTGCTGAAGGGCTATTAGCCTTAGTGGCTCAGGATGTGCTGGAGAGCAGGGAGAAGGCCTCACCCACGGAGACATTAATCAGGTCCCTGACCTTGACCTCCTTAGAGATGCCAATAACACCAGGCTCATTCACGGATTTCAGAACTTGAGGAGATCAAATGATGTCAGGGGTGTGAGACTCAGCAAGCATAAGCTGTGGGTACAATGTGTTACTGTAGAGTGTAAGCATCCCTGGCCTGTTTGACTCTCTAACCCCGTTACTCCGCCCCCTGCTTCACACTGGGCATCTGGCTGCTGGACACATTGTTGTAATAAAAAAAAAAAAAAAGCACCTGGAGAGAGCAAGACACCATGCAACAGAGTTCAAGTGAAGGGTTTTTGTTTTGTGTTGTTTTGTTTTTTTCCATTAGGGAAAAAGGATTGTAAAAAGGGGAGAGGGGAGGAGGGAGATGGATCTCCAGGGACAGAGAGAGATAGGGAGAGAAAGAGAGAGGGACATGGGAGGTGGGTAGGGCCCCTTTAAAAGGGAGCATGGTGAATAGGCACAGGTGGTGCTCTTAGTGGCAGCCCCTGAGGGCGCATTCTGTCAGAACCCCAAGGGCAGGCCAGTACAAATGCCTGAATAGTAACACACATCATCACCTTTGACTTTTGACTTTTGTGTCCCTCAGAACATTGCATGGTTGCTCCTGAGGGACGCCTTGCTGTTCCCATCTCCTTTGTTGGAACATTCAGTGGGATGAACATATATTCCTAGCCGAGGACCCTGTACTAAAACAGGGACAGATATGGGCAAATAGAGACAACCAGTCACCCTGTCCCTCCCTCCACCCTTCAGGTTGCCAACTTCTTCTCAGCAACTAGTGTTGTGACCACAGGATCCTAAACCTGACCTTTTGACATGTGCTTTCTCACCTGGTTCCTCTCTCCTGCCTGGAAGCCTCAAGTCCAACGAAGGTTTCTCCCCATGCTATCCAGTCCCCAGCTCCTACCCATTTCAGCCTGCTCATGGCTTCTGTCCTTGTCACCCTTCAAAACTGTGCCAGACCCAGCTATTCCCACCAGGTGTGGCCTGACCCACACCCCAGCCTGAGGCAGTGAGCCTCAAGGTTGGTAGAGCCCGTGTAGCCCAAGATGGTTTTTCAGCTTCTGTCCCTGAGCCTCTACCTCTTGTTCCAGGCCCTTGTGAGGAATGCAACATATAGGCTAGCTCTTTCTGCTTCCCGCTTCCATGAGGACTCCTGGCTTGAGACTTCATGACTCTCCTGGCTCTGTGTCCACAGTGGCTCTTGGTTCCCCTAAGACTTTCCCACACACTCCTTCCCCTGCCAGGCCCAGGCACCATGCTCTGGTGTCTGGATATTGCTTTGAGATGCCCATCCCAATTGCCTCAACTGACCCGTCTTAGACCCTCCGGCTTCAGCTTCCTAGACTGTCACTTGGCCTTACCAGCCCTGCTTTGGAAACTTCAGTGAGTTCCCTGACTTCCTCATCTCTCAGGCTGCCCTCTAGTGACCTACCCAGTCTGGCTGCTACCTTCCTAATTTGACACCCTCTTGTTAGTAAAGGCCACTGTTGACACACCTATAATCCCAGCACCAGGGAGCCAGAGGCAGGCGGATCTCTGAGTTTGAGGCCAGCCAGCTTGGTCTACAGAGCAATCTCCAGAAGGGCTACATAGACAGACAGACAGACAGACAGACAGACAGACAGACAGACAGACAGACAGATACACACACACACACACACACACACACACACACACACACACACACAGAGAGAGAGAGAGAGAGAGAGAGAGAGAGAGAGAGAGAGAGCCCTTAGTAGATATCTTGCCAATAGCATGTGATGGGCAGATCCTGATGAAGGCAGCACTCAGCCTCTTCCAAGGGTGGCATTAGGTAGGAAATGCAGGGTTTTGGGGAAAAACTGAGTCTGTCTCCCTGTCACAAAGAACAGAGCCCCAACCCAAGGAGTCCCCAGGAATTCAGTCCCCCCCCCAGGGTTCACCTCCCACGGTTAGGATTGAAACTGAGGAACACACAGACTGGGTGTGTCCTCAGAATGGGCACTGCAGCCTGGGGTGTTGGAAAACAGAGAATCTCAGGCAGGTCACATGCTTCCTCCATACGTCACCCTGCTGTGGCGTGTGTGCTTTTGGTAAGGTGGGGCCCAGATTTTGGAGCCTGATCAGGACAAGTCCCTCCAGTCCTTCTTCAAGCACTCTGAGGTCTCCCTTCCAGGCCTAGGAGTCAGGACAGCATTCCATGAGACAGGAATGTCCACAGTAGAAGTGGGTTGGGGGTGGGTCATGCCGAAAAGGGATGTGCTTTGAGTGGCCCTCTCCTTCCATCTGGAGGGTAGCCTATCTAGTATCTAGGCCGTATGCAGCCCACCCCTGCCTGTCCTCTTCTTTGATATTTCCCCACCAGTGACCTCTAAGGACTCAGCCCCAACAAAGAAGAGCCTTTCCTGAATGCAGGGATGGGAGCCTCAGCCAGCCAGCTGGGATCTGCAGGAAGATCGGGGACAGGTTCTGCTTCCAGAAGCTCCTGCCCTGGTGTGGAGAGAAGGCACAATCTGGGGCCTGGCAAGGGGAGCAGACACAGAGGACTTCTGCCTGGTGCAGAAGCCTGGCTTTGATCTGTTGGGCAGGGGACAGGAAAAGAGGTCCAGAAAGGATGCTAAAGGGGTACCTCAGGACATCCCTAGCACTTTACAAATATCTTACATAACAGCCATGTGCTCAGGTCCCTAGGACAGGGCAAGGCAGCCTTGGGCACTCCTTAAAGGCCATGGGAGCAGATGACTACCATGAAGTTACCTGAGGCAAGAAGAAAATTGCTTGAACCTTTCTCTGAGCCACACATCATTCCAAATATGGATGTTGCTAGATATTTGGATGCTATCATCGTATGACTCACTGAGGGATAGCTATATTGTTTTATAGAAGAGATAAGGGACACTGCCTCTAAGGAGGGAGGAGACCGGAACCCACCATCCCATCTGCCTCCTCCTAGACCAAGGCCTGGAGTAGGGCAAGGGCCCAAGAACTGTACTTCACCAGCCAGATGCCCACGGGGGCAGCCACTCAGAAGTGGGGAGAAGGGCCTGAGCGTCATTGCCTCCTTGGTGGACTTCTTAGGCCTTTTCTCCTGGGCAGATCTCCCTGTTTCTCCCAGAGAGAAGCTTGGACTTACAGCCATCTTGTTCTTTTAGTTGGCTGTATTTTTCCAGATGTCACTAATAAGGTTCATATGATGTAGGCCCTGAGGGTGTGGCTGCCACCTGAGTTGGCAAGTGGCCTGGGAAGGTGGGGAGCCACCATAGAAGAGCAATGATCCAAGCCCAAGCAAGGTCACCCCTCCCAAGCTTAGTAGGAGAAAGGGAGAGTATAGAGAGGAGTCTCAATCAAATTAGCTTTGGTGGGGCAACTGTGAAAAGAGGCAAGGAGGCCTGCCCAGGACAGCAAAGCCACCGCCCTGGAATTTTGTATTGTCTGCAGCACTAACAGTTGTGACATCCCAAGAGGTGACATCTCTCTGGGCCTGCTTCCTCCTCAATAAAATAAACCTTCTACCACAGGATAGTCTGTCTAGTCTAATGAAGCTAGAAGGTGGGGTTGAGCTAGACTTGGGAGATGATAGAGAGAAAGAGGGGTCGCCCCTCCCCCACCCGTAGCCAAGCTTTTGGAATGCTTCTGCCCCCTAGTGGTGACTCAGAGTAAAAAAAAACATGTTTGGGAATACCAGACTGGAAATCCTCCTGCCTGGAAGCCCAACTTCCTATGCCCCCATGCCCACCCCAGGATCCTTTGCCACTCACCTGCCCTCTTCGGCGTGTGTGCATTCTAGTGGACAGAAAGGCAATCACAGCCTGTACACAGGGTGCCCACAGGGTGCTGGCTATTTCCATACTCACATACTCACCCTGCGGGCAATGAGGTTCTGCGGCATGGTGGCCCCAGGCCAGGCCTTGGGGAGTCTCAGGGCATTTGTGAGAGCAGACAGGCAAATGGTGGGTTGTGGAGAAAGTGGTAGAAGAACGAATGTGGAGGGTTGCTCAAAAGTATGACAACCTGTGTGAGTGACACTTGAAAGTTCATGGTGAGCAACTGTGGGTTTGGTCTTGACTGTAGGTTTGTTCTGGGCACATGGCTCTTCAGCCAGATAGCTGGGAAGATTTTGTTTCTACATTCAGGATATCTTCCTGCAGTCCTTCCAGGGGTCTGGGTCATCCTCTCTTTAGGGTAGCCAGATTTCTGTGGGTGCCTCCTGAACCTGGCCAGGAGCAGGAGCTGAGAGGGATAAAGACCCTGCCTTATCTCTGTAGTCTATCCACATCCCCCCTCCCTGAACCTGGTCAAGGGACTAAACTTGCAAAAGGAGTAGACAGCGTTAGGTCTCTTTCTTTCTAGGACTGGGCTCTGGGGACTTCCTTGCTGAATGAAGCATAGCAGGGGCCAGGTATAATGGGAAGCTTGAGACTTCTAGAGACCTGTGGGGTAGGGCTGAACTCAGCAGTATTTGGGGGGCAGGGTGCAGTGTGCAGAGAAGGTGGGAGAGAGGAAGAGACATGTGCGGGCACATGTGCGTGTGGAGTGTGTGTGTGTGTGTGTGTGTGTGTGTGTGTGTAGACAAAGAGGGGAGGGAGACAGAGAGGGAGCGATCTAGGAGCTAGGAGCTAGGGTGCGTCACTGTTGCTGGGAAAGTACAGTCTGACTCAGTGGGAACATCCGGCAGGAAGGGAGGAGGGTACACAGTGGCATTTGCAAACAGGATGGGAACTCTGGGGCTGCAGAGATGGGGTGAGGGGCCAGGGGTGAAAGCCTGGACAGCAAAGGGGCTGAGGACAGTGGCAAGAGAATACAGAGAAGGTAGATGCTGGTGGGGTATAAGAGCTGAGGCCTGGTCTGTTGGGGACACAGGAAATGCCAGAGTTTGTGATCCTCATTTCAAGGCCTGGAATTCAGGACCTCATAAAGCTGACCTAGGCACCCCTGGGCTGAGAGACTGGCCTCAGCTGTGTGAAGACTACTGGGGAAGGGGCCTGTGTCCTTTCGTGGGGTCAGAGGGTCTGGAAGGGTCATCCCTAGAGTGCCAGGCAGAGAAGGACCCTGTGAGAGGATCCCACAGGAAGAAGGCTGTTGACTGCTCTGAGTGGAAATGTTAAGGACCCCAGAGAAAGGCCCATCTCAGCATAGTAAAGGGGCTGGAGACCCAGAGAGTTAGGCCTCCAGGAGTAGCTATGCTTGGAGTACAGAGAAAACCATGTTCTACCTCAGGGAACAAATGGTGGCCTGGAAGGAGGGTTTCTCACTCTTACCTAATGACTTAAACCTACGCTCACTGGACCTCACTGGACGGCCAGCAGGAAAGCAGAGGCGGGGCCCTCAAGGGGTGGAGTCTGCATCCCTTGCCTTTTGCTACTACTGGGGGTTGGGGGGATGAAGGACCATGCTGTGCACTCATTTTGTTTGCAGGCAAATACAGGCAGGGGTCTTACTGGGGCTAAGGACCACAGGTGAAGGTGGGCCCTGGGTGCCTAGGCTTCCTGTGTGTGGACACTGAGGCAGGGCAGGGAAAGGTGTTGGATGAGACTAGCTGGCTGCTGGTGCCCTGGTCCTCTTGAGAGTGGAAGGGTGGGGGTGGCGGCCAGGCGTTCCTGGCTGGGAGCCCAGAGCACTCTTTTGTAATCACAACATGATCTCTTGTGCTGAGCAGAGAAGCCCAAGCCGGCAGGGAGAGGCCGACAGGCCCGGCTCTGGTGGCTCCAGCTTCCCTACAGCTCTGGCTCCGGGGGCTGCTTTGGAATTCTCTCGGTGCCTGCTATTTCCATGCATTTGGCTGTGAGTGGCACCTCTTCTTGGGCAGAGGGCTTCTAGAGGATGGGAGGGGGTTGAACTACTAAGCAGCCATGTTCTGGAGACAGCTGGTGACAGCTGGGCCCGGGAGGAAGAAGGCCATGATGAGGCAGGTGGTGGACTGGGCAAGTCACTGGGCCAAACACAGACTCTGAAGCCAGACAGAAAAGGACCTCAGATCTTGATGCAGAGATGTAGTTTGCCTAGAGTAGCTGCCGGCAGGAGCTGCTATGACCTGCTGCTCTGCTGCCCATCAGCCAGCAGCTCAGACCTGGAGGGTTGGCTGAGCCTGTGGGAGCAGCTCTCTCCTACAGACTGGGCACAGGCCTAGGGTGTGGGGTCCAGAGCCTGGGAGTCCAGAACCAAGTTGAGGCCTGTGTTTTTTGTGTGTGTGGTTCTAGATTTGGGAAGCAAAGTCCCCCCCCCCCCCAACCCCCTGCATGCA